ACAGGCGCTCAAGAGGGCCGGGGGAGGGTTCTATTGTGGGGCATGAGGCTCAGCTTCTTCCCCCCAGGAGCCAGCTACTCCCACACCTTCCCCATTCCCCCCCCACCCCACCAACTTCAATCTGGCTCTTTGTCCTGCCTCTGTTGAGCTCCCTGCCCTGTCCCCTTCCCTGTGGGATGAGCAGGGACCACGTTGGCACTTTCTCAAAGAGGCGGTAGCTCCACTCCTGCATTCTCCTCCCCCAGCGCTGGTGAGGTGGTGTATGGCACTGAGCTACCACCCTTTGTCCGCAAAGTGGCTGCCTTCCTGTGGTGGGGGATGGCATGTACAATGCACTGGTAGACCCCTACGCAGATATAAAATTGGTATCTGTATTGGCAAAAAAGATGGTGGGAGATCTGCAACCACAGCTGCGGCCGCAGAGAGCTGCCACCTTGCAGGGTTTGAAGCAGCTTTGTATCCACAAAAACAAGACATGGATAGCGGCAGCCATATTTAGGGATGTGGATACCTGTGAATTTGCATTGGGATCGTACCAGCCAGGAGGTGCTACAAGAAGCATGTGTGGTTAAAGTTTTATAGGTCATCAGTGAAAGCTTAGCCAAGGCTGGCACGCCTAGGATAGAATTGAGGTTGCTTGAGAGGTCATCAAATTGCTGTTCAGCCTAGAATCATAGTGCTATGAACCAGTAAGAATGAAAGGTGCCTGGCACCTTCCTTTGCCCGACAGGTCCAGTTTTCCATCCTATAGATGAATGTTCCCTCTAATATTTTCTATCCTTAAGCAAAATAAATTTTGTATGCAGCAAAGCATGTACCAATGTGCACTACCAGGCCGAGACACAAGGGCTGTGGCTACACTGGCATGATCTTGCGCAAAAGTGGCCACTCTTGTGTAAAAACTTGTTGCCTATCTACAGTGGTCACGTGTTCTTACACAAATAAACTGATGTTCTAATGTATAAAATCAGGGCTGCTTGCGCCAGAACTCTGACGCTCGTGCTCAGGAATAAGCCCTCTTGCGCAAGAGCTCTTCCAGAAGAGGCCAGTGTAGACAGGCAACATGAATTTCCTGGGCAAGAAAGCCCTATAGTTAAAATGGCTCTCAGAGCTTTCGTGCGGAAGAGAGCATCTACAGTGGCATGGATGCTCTTGCGCAAAAGCACATGCCAGTGTAGATGCTCTCTTCTGGAAGAGTTTTTGCATAAGAACGCGCCAGTGTAGATAGAGCCAAGCTGACAGCTCTGGATGCTCTGCTAAGCAGCTGGGCGGAGTATGAATCACTCCAAAGCACTCAGCTAACAGGGAACACTGCCACAGACCTCCGCTTCTGAATGCTATCTCTCTTCTTTGCAGTGCTGAAGAAACGCCTAGTGAAGCTAGTTGTCAACTTTCTCTTCTACTTCCGCATAGATGAAGGAGAGGTATAAAAATAACTTGCTTCTGCAAACTGGCTTTATGAACTTGTTAGAGCTGTTGTAGAAAAACATGTTAATAAGGCAGGTTCTATACCAAAGGGCCTAAAAACCAACCAAGAGCAGACTGCCGTTGTGCTAAGCTCTGTACTATCACAGAATCGTAGATGGTCCATGCCCTGAAACACTTACCGGTGAAGTAGTCACACTGCACTGTTTAGCTAGTGGTGTTTGAGGAACACAATGAAGCCTCTGCTTGGCGACGCTGAGAAGCAACTGCTGTCCTGCCCAGCCCTGGCTATCAGTCTAGGGGTGCAATTCATTGCATGGCTGCAATTCATTTATGTGAAACCAGTGAGATTGATTTTAAATTTAGATTAAGGCTCTAGCTAAATCTCAGTAAATAATAACTGTATCATTGCTTTTGAGCAAGATCTGGCAATGTAAAAAAAAAACCCCAAAGCATTGTAATCGCTGTATTTTATCAATATTCCTTACTTGGACCTATAAGTATGCAAGCGTATTGTCTGGTTGTTGTAGCAGAGGAATGCGAGCTGGAGCCCACTGGTTCCAGAAAAGACTTTTGATCTGTCTTGGCCTTTGTTTCTCATCCTTAACAATAAAACTCACTTGCACTGTGATTGGACAGAAGATGCAGGATGAGCGTGGCGTGGTACTGCTGTGGCTACGCCATTTAACAGACTTGAAGAGAAGGTGCTTTCGGTGGTGTTTGTAGTGATCAGAAATACATGTGACCCTAAGGATCCTTGCACTCCCTTTGCAGAATATTTCTTCTCTCCTCCTTGTCTCCTCTGACAGTCATGATCATAGGATCTGGCCAAGAAGATGCCACACTTCACAGTCTCTTTGGGGTGATTATGAAATCATGTTAGAGCTTTGACCGCATGAGACTAGAGACCATTCCCAGTAGCAGATTTCTCTCCACTCCTGCTTACACGAGTTTGGCTGTTTTGGCTAATTTTCCTGGCAGTTAGAGACTATAAAATATTTCCCTTTGTGTTTAGCAGTAAGTGGTCCAAAAATAGTTTGGAAGCTTAGAATAGTATGTGCTGACGGGATACTTAGTCAAATAACACCTCTTAACACTGAGTTGATCTTAAAAAAAGTCTGTGGTCTCTATTCTATTTGTTTGTCTCTTGCAGTTCATTTCGGACAAAGAAAAGAACCCTTTCTCTGGTTTTCATGCCTTAGCTCAGTGCACCCATAAATGACTTGCAAATTCTGCAGGTGAAATTCGTTTGTTTAAAATGAACTGTTTTAAAAAAACCGAATGCAGGGACAGATTCCATTAGACTTCTGCAAAGCTTCAAGCATGTTCTTTTCCAGACCTAAGTTTGGATTTCTGTTTGTGCTGTGCCTTCCAGCCAAACTTGATGTGCAGACTAGATTCTAGAGAACTTTTACCACCTTTGCCTCTTTTTGTGCAGATCACTGAGCTATTTATTAACTCTCCAGAGTTGTACTGAGCAAATACAGATGTCCAAAGCACTGTGTAAATACTAATCAACACAAAATATTTGTACAGTGAAGTATGACAGCAGAGACAAAGAAATTAGCTACCTAAAAACCGCTCTGTTTTCAACCCTCTCAGTTCTCGCCAGGTTATGACGTCTGCCCTAAAGTCCGTCCCCTGGTAGTTTGTGGCTTATCAGGATCTTCCTATCATTAAAAATATTTTTGTCTTCTTGAGCTTCCGTGAAAGACCCACTGTAGCAAACAATACATGGGAACCAGTGAAAGAGCTGTGACTAGCAAGATAGTGCACAAGAACTCAAATAGCTTAGGGAATGTCGTTTCTGCTCTAGCCTCTTGGCACTGTTGTCTCTCTCTTTCACGAGTCACTCACTGCGGCCCCCACGTCAGTCCCCGTGTTCCCTTTCCCGCCACAATGTCTCACATGTGTAGAACTGGCTGAACAAGGGGAGGGGTGTCTTAACCCTTCTCTGTGGGTTTCTTTCTAGCCAATTGGAGCTTTGCTGTTGGAGCACTGCAGAGTCACCAAAGAAGAGGAGAATGTCTTTTCGATCAGTGAGTTGTGGGAGAAGATTCTCATGGGTGTATCCTCCTCTCGGTTTCCCTTTTCAGTCAAGTGGCAGAAGGGCAAGGGGAATGTTTCTAGAGTCAGATCCTGCACCATACTGTGTGGAGTGTCCTGTCTCACGTGGGGCGGGGCAATATGGGAAAAGGGAGATGCATAAGAAAAATTCTTGGGTGTTGTAAGAAGTGATGCTACAAAATCAATAGCCACCCTCTTCCCTCCCTGTGCTGCATCATTGACGCCTCCTGGCGTAATGATTGTGCTGCTGAAGGGTTGGTCTCGTCATGTAGGTATGAAAACCAGCCCCCCAGCACGGGAAGGTCCTGGACCATATTTTGGTGGTGTCAAGGTGCTAGCTCTGGTGCTCTGGACAAAACCATGTTTCTGCCTCTTGGCTCCCCTTTGTAGGGTTTTCAGTAGTCTGTTCTTTACTTGCTGCCCTCAGTTTCAGCACAGTGGGGCTGCGAGCTACGCAGCTGCTGCGCTCAGCCCCAGAGGTGGCTGCATCCCATTGCTGGCTGAGGGAGGCAGGCGAGCGCGGAGAACGCGGGGCTGACGGGCGCTGCGGGAGTGGTTAAGCGCTAGTGGCCATTCCTCGCAGGGAAGATGGGCTGTGGCCACAGTGCTGCAGCTAGGCTCTTGCTTTCAGGCTCAGATAAGGCACTTGTCAGGGCTGTCCCAGCCTGGGCCCTCCCGCCATGCTGTTTGGCCTTGTGTTGATAGCAGTGGCTCCAGCTGGCTCGCGGCGCGTTGTCCTTTGGAAGCAGCCTTTCATCCCACAAGCAATCATTGTGCAAATGGTATGTGGCAAAAACAACAGGATGTTTCCTCCAAGGCCGTCCCCATATCTGTTGGCCTGCCTGCCCGGCGCAGCTGCTTCAATGTGCGGAGCCTTCGTCTCCACTCCAGCCAGGAGGGACCAAACTCCCACTGTCTGCGCTAGGGCCTCTGGCAAGAGAGCCGCCCGGGCACCAGCCTGCAGCCGGTGCTGCCTCTCCCCGTCAGCAGCAGCAAGGCCATGAGCTTCCTGGTGCAAGGCTTGGGGCACTGCTAGCTTCTCCAGCCAGCCCACCACGGCGCCTCCTGCTCCAAGGGCAACAGCAGCCCACACGATGGGGCAGCCGGGGGGCTCTCCGGCCATGCACTCGCGGCTGATGCTCCCACCAAAGCTCATTCCCCAGGGCTGGCGTGGGCCAGAGTTTGTCCTGTGTGCTGAAAGGGACAGATTCTCATAGCCCACTGCCGCCCCATTGAGCTGGCTGGTCCTCCCCTGCCAGCCACCCTGTGACATCTGCCTGCACGGCTTTGCAGCAAAGTGGCTACTGTTGAAGTTGCCTTCGTCTGGGCTGTGTGGGGGGAGGGAAGCGGGCCCCTTGCCCTCTGCCTGCAGAGAGGAGCCTTGGAACGTGGCAACGTCTCCTCCTAGGCTTCAGACACACTCTGGTCTCCGTTTGTGCCTGCAGCATGGGGGGAGGCAGTTTGGCTGAGTTACCTCCATGCTGGAGCCCAGATCTAGATTAATTATGGGTGGCAGTGCCAGGCTTATTAATTAGGGGGCCTGATGCCATCTTGGTGAAGCATAGGCTGGAGGGAGGCTGGTCTCAGTGGGGGCAGAGGGCAGAAAGAGGAGCAATGGGCTCCAGTTACAGTGCGGGAGGTCCAGGTGGGATATTAGGAAAAA